GTGGGGAGAAAGAGTGATGAACCCAGCTCTCCCAGTTTCTTTTAACCTCCAGTGAAGAAGACAGTGGAAACAAACCAGGCTTTTTTTCTGGGCAGCACGCACAATCTGTTATCCATTGTTTTAGGCGTGTGCGAGGAAACCTGTAGTTCCTTGGTGTTGCGGATTTTAAAAGATGACGTAGTACAAAAGAGAGAAAGATAATTAATAATACCTACACCACAAAACACAGGCAAACCAACAATAGTTTCCCAACACCAAGAAACACTAAGAAAACCTCTGGCTTCTTATCTGTTGTGACCCCAGCTAACGTATGATTATTTAACACACAAAAAATTCTCTGCTTCCTCCTACAGACCCTGCATTTTGGTGTTTGATTCACTGGGATGCCAAAGAAATAGGTGCATGATGAATCTTAGAAAGTAAGTCTCTGTCTGTGGTCAATTTTCTAACGTCAATTTCTTTTTGAGTACCAGTGTGGATGATTTGCTGTAACTGAATCATAATCGAAAATTAAATCAGATTAATTTATTAAGGGCTGGGGGGGGGGAGGTTTGAAAAAGGTTTAAAGGCTTGTTTATAGTGAAAAGTGCACTTAGCTTATCCAGCTAGTTTACAGGCACTCCAATCAAATACTTAGAAACAAATAATTGCCATACAGCATAACAGGATTAAAAACCCCAACTGGCAGGAGGCAACCAGTTGGCTATTTGCAAGTGTGGCCGAGGATTAGAACTCGGGACGGCCGAGAACAAATGCAGTAAGTGGCCAGAGCGGGACTCGAACCCGGGACCGCCGGATTGCGAGTCCGACGCGCTGACCAGTCGGTCACGCTGCCTCCTACAAGGGAAGGAAGAACTCTACAAAATAATTGGTATTTCTCTTTTTTTCGGTATTACACCCATGAAAAGGCAGAGGTTTTTGCACAGAAAAAGGTCGACTCCGCCCGTACAGTTGTTCAAAGGGTGGAGAAACTGCGTGCACAACTGTAAATAATCTGTTGTAATCTCGGCTGATTGGCGAAGACCTCTTAGTTTTCGCAGAAAAGCTTCGAACAATTACTTTGCCGGCATCGCGGTGACGTATAAAGCAATGTTTCTTTTCTACGGAAAAAAAAAACAGGCAACCACATTGAAAACGTCACTAACAGGTCATAAGTGTATTCGCGTCTTTCAAACATTTTCATGATCATTTTAACGTGATCAATTTATCAACTTTAGGAAAAATTCCGAGTCGTTTACTTTTAAATTCTAAAGGACCGTGCCTATGCAAGTACAGAAAAAGACAGAAAAATTCTTCGTTCCACGCTAACGTCGTAGCCTTGCATTGGCGCCATTGTGATGAACGCGCAAAAGGGCTTTTTGCCGTCTCCTTCCTGCCATCTTAAGGAAGCTTACGTAACCACGACAGCGACGGCAATGCGGAAGTTTAAGGCTATGTTCACAGTATACCGCCATAACCATAACACACAAGAACGGACGGTGATTTCGGTTAGATTTTTGTGACTGAGCAAAGCTGCGCCGCGCCGATCTCGAAATTGGAGCGTCACATATCGGATAGATTCTGTGCCACACTTTGTTGCAGTTAACACTGAGGTATTTTGACCGTACGGGAAGTAAATAGGTAGGAGCAAGGACTGGAACCTGCTGAGCTTGAAGTGAAAATTCAGGAGTGAGGACTGGGTTTTAGTTCACCAAACCCTGCACGTGCAAAGTTATTGTTTTGCTAATTTAATCCTATTGCATTTTTGAGTTGTCGTCGCCGTCGTGCCATATTTGACTCTTGACTTTTGACTCTTTTTACACTGGTCCAAATTTTCGATCGGACGAATTTTTTACCTTTGCAACGCGTTTACACGTAACCGTGTAAATTCTGTTACAGTACTGTTTACACGAGTCCGTGCAAGTTTTTGCCAGTGTCAGCATTGTTTTTTTCCTTCCTCTTTTTTTTTAACTAGGCTCCAGGCTTTTGCCTCGTAAACTGTGAAAAAATTGTCCGGTTTACTTGTTAACACGAATCCGTGTAAAAGTGGAACTGTACCGCTTTAAAATTTTGACCTACTCCTGATCAGGTAAAAAACTTGCACAGTTCCGCGGATCCCGTGTAAACGAAAGGCGGATCCGTGCAAGTTTTTTGTCCGTTAAAAAATTTGTCCAGACTCTTGTAAACGGGGTCTCAAACGCCCTAGTTTCGCTTCCGTCGCCGTGGTGGGCACGTTAGCCCTCTTTGAATTCTCTAGTGATCGTTTTAAACACGTTAGAAGTTTTTACTGATTTGCTTTTTACTTGAATTGTCACCAGCTACCTAGCATGTGAATGGAAAGAGAGAAAAAAACAGTGTGAGCCTAGAGAGTTCAACAAAGATAACGTCAAGGGAAACCACCCTAAGGTGTGTTGAATCTGGGCTCAATTTAATAAAACTTTACAAGTGTAATTCAGTAGCTGTTGTTTCCGATTGTTATTTGTGTTGTCGGACTCTGGCAGAGTACGAAAACACCAATTTTCCGCAATGACAAAATAGTGGATCATCATACTTTTCTGGGAAACTGCCCACCTACCCCTCCCCTAAGCCAACATTTTGCTCTAAGTGAGAAGTAAGTGTTAGTGTTGGCTTAAGGGAGGGGTAGGTGGAAAAGATTAAGGCCACGCCTACGTGATTCCGGACATGTTTGAAGCTGCATTTTTTTAAACGAATCGACTTTGGCTTCTGTACACGCCAAAACCAGTGAATCAGCTCACATGAGCCGCTCTCCAGAGTGGTTATAAGGGCTCTATGCACACGAATGCGTGTAACAAAATTTCTGGTTTCAAAATGTCCGGATTCGAGTGGATGTAGCCTGATGCTCAGACGTCCGAGGTCGTTCGCGGTCCTTTCGCTTCTCTTCCTCTCCCGTCTGATATACTCTGTGCGAAGTCGTGTTCATGACGTCAGAGCCATTGTCAATTTTCACCAATCAGAGCGGTTGTACCATAGAGGGATCACCATCGGAGAGGGAAAGAAGCGAAGGGGCCTCGGACGTCTGAGCATCAGGCTAGTGTGGATGGGGCCTCATTAAATTGAGATAACATTTAAGTGGAGCTTAGGACGAGGAAGATTTGTATGACTTGGACCAAATTATTACTTGTGGCTATTCTTTTACTTGTGTTATCCCCGTTTACACGTGTGTCCAAGAGCACAAGCCGGGGGAAAATGGACTTAATACAGACTTGTAATACTCATCATGTTGCTGGTGGTGAGTCCCTACCATACTATCCGTGCCTTTCTTTCGCTTGCCCAATTTTGGCGTGCTCGAGAAAGACTCTGCATGAATCGAGTAAGGTCTTTGTTGCGCATGCGCTGCATGTTGCTTGGATGCAAATTCGAACCCAGGCCTAATAGCCTTGCGCTTAGAACAACAGCCTCAGTTTTAACCTTCAGTATTACAATAAACGGATACTAACACTCAAAAAACCAATTTGACGAGCATCGAGATTGATTAGTTTAGAATTTCAGGCTGCGTCGAAGAGCCTTCTTTCCTTCTCCTTGGTTAAGAAGAAGATAATAGAAAGCTCTGCTCGCAGAGTGCTAAGTCCCCTGACAAGATTGGAACCCAGAATGCCGCTTGGGCGCTCTAGCCTCTAAGCCTCGGAGATAGTAGGAAGTGCTCGCCTTGGTGTTTCTTGGCTTAGTTGTTAATGACCTGAAAAGTGGTGAACGCTCATAACCAGCGGAAAAATTTAGGCAATCTGTATTTTTTTTTTTTGAGCTTTATTCCACTTAAACTGTTGACAGTTTTCCGAAAGATCTTCGAGATCGAGCGCTAACTGTTCTTTACGGGCAGCCATCTTGGTTTCAGTTGCTTCGTTTGTAACCTGGCGAAGCCAAAGATCACCGAATTCCAAACCCCGCGGTTATTTTTATTTGTCACTCATTTCGGTAGGAGCTCCCACTGTCTGAATGTTGTTAAATTTTGTGAAACAGTTCCTTTAATTCTTGATTTTACACCGTCTTGCCCCACTCTTAGGTCCCTGTGCAGGATAACTTCTGTGATTGTGGGGTATACGTGTTGCAGTACATGGAAAGCTTCTTCGAGGTGAGGAATCTCTCTTTGATATGCAGTTTTAAAACAGAATGATATTTAGGGTGCTTTCCGTCGGTTGTAATCCATTGTAAGGTAAAGTACACCGAAAGCTTTCAACAGCTCGTGGATATTGAAGCAACTAAGACGCTGCAAGTATTTTATTCCAGCGGAAAATTTTACGGTATGGTAAATTCTTAAAAAAGCTATATCTTTAGTCCATTGCATTTGCCTTTTCGGGGTGTGTCGCCGTCGGCTTGGCATGGTTCCCAGTTGTGTGTGAGAAAGAGAAAAAACGTTTAAGTGTGAGTACGTCTGTTTGAGATTTCGTTCAACGTTGGTTTTGTTTTTGACTACGTTTTACCAGGAGACCTGAGACCCAGTCCTCACAATTTTTCTTTTCTGTAGTGCGTGTTGGTAAACGTGGCGTCCGGATCTCAGCGTCTTCCGAAGACTTCCGAACGTATCCGAAAATGTCTGAAAATTATTTTATGACCTTTGAGCACTCTGAAAGTTTATAAATAGGCGTTGAATTTTGGTCGTCAATCATGCGTTAAAGAACAATTAATTTGTCCGAATAAAACTCTTTTTAATTTTTAGCGTGTATGTTTTGTTTTCCCAGGACAGGTCATGTGATAATATTCTAGAGAACTGTTTCTTTCAAATTTCGTCTTGTTCACGTGCATGCCTACACATAATTGATGAAAGACAAAGGGTCAAGTTCCCCTGGGACCTCTATTGGTAAACAAAACATGCAAGCTAAAGAGGTTTGTCGTCGATGCGTGACATCGATGTCACCCCCTTATCGGCCTCCTCTGAACCTTGGCCGCATTCGTCGTGTTGACTTTTGAATAATCTCTGCTGACGCGGAGCAAACGATCGGTCCCTGCCTTTCTTAAAATACCGGTCGCCTTTTCAAGAACAAAAACATACACACCAGCAGAAAATGGGATCGTCCCTCTTTGCAAACAGTGGTAGCCTTTACTCTAAAAGTCATCGCGTGTTTTTAGATAAATCAGGGCAAACTGAGAAGATTAATGACCTTATACAATTGTGTATACCGCCATTGATTAATGAGAAGAAAATTGTCAAGGAACAAAGCTTGAATGTTTTAAGCATCGGGAGTGGAAATGGGCAGGCAGATTTGTTTGTCCTGAAAGTGATCAAGGAAGAATTGATGAAGACAGACCTAGGCCACAGTGTCAAGATCTTCAACCGTGCCATTGACCCCAACTTATATTCATGTGATCTGTACAGAGCAGCTATTGAAAATCTACCAAGACCGCTAAACGATGGCAAAGTGGCCTTTGAAATCTGTCAGCAGTCCTTTGAAGAGTATCAAGAAAGCCACAGAGAACCCCTCAGTTTCGACATCGTGCATTTCATACACAGCATATATTATGTAGACATCGAGAAAGCTTTACTGCATTGTTTTGAAAAAGAACTTAGCGGTAAAGGAAAAATAATCTGTATCGCCTCCAGGCGAGGTCTTATTTGTAGCGTTGTGTCAAAACTGCAGCAAAAACTGCAGTGGCATGTGGGCAGTGAGATTTACGATGTAGTTGATAAAATGATCCAGATTGCCAACAAAAACGGATGGAAGATTGAGGTTCATGACCAAGAATATTCAATTGATGTCACCGAGGTCTTTGATCCGCATTCAACCGAAGGAAATCTGCTACTCGACTTCTTGACGCAAACGGAAAATTTTCGTAATACTGAGGACAAAGAGTTTGTTGAAGAAACGTTGTCGTTCATTAGAGATCTGACTTATGTCAAAGGCGGGAAATTTTTTGGAGAAAAGAAAGAGTCTCTAGTGGTCATCTCTGTCAAGTAACACAAACTATCGTGAGATTTTTTCGGAAATTGTTTTGTTCTCTTTTTATTTCCAGCGTAGCGACTAAGGGATTTACGTTGCCCCAGCTTGACAATAGTAACTTGTTCAAGATGGAGCTTGAATAATCAAATACTCAATTCCTCAGATTGAAGTTCTCAGATCGTTTTTCAAGCGAGCGGGGACAAGCGCGAGAACAGCTCGCTGTGCGAGTGAAGCACGACGAGGGCGGGGGAGGACCAAACCGTAAACGTTTCTTGGAAACTGCCAACCTACTCCTTCCCTAAGCCAACAGGACCAAAAGGTTTATTATTTTCTGCGCTTTGTATGCACAGTGAAATGACCCTGGCTTTTGCCGAAAAAGGTACAAAAGGTCATGGCTAATGCCTGTGTATACACCACGCTGATCCAATCTGAGCGAGATTGCCGGGGAAGAAATGCAAGATAGAGTCGATAGCGCTTGATTGAATTCGGGGAAAGGGGCACTCAACAAAGCTTCATACGGGGAGGCTCCGACCCCAGATCCAACGCCTTAACTTCAGTTTTATGTACCATTTTTGACAGAATGTATCCCTTTCGTATACCTGCTATTGACAAATAGTACCCCTTTCACATACTTAGTTTAGATCTGCTGTACATACACCGTCTTTCAAATATGAATAAATCACTAAACCAGGAAATTTATTGTCTTTTTCACGACCGTTAGAAGCATTTGTTCGCCCTTTAAGGTCCTTTTACAGACCTAAATAACAGATTTCCCATCCTCGGAGACTTAGGGGTAGTCAGTTGGGACAGGAGAAAGGCACGACGAAAGTTTCAAACACGGGCGGAAAAGCCCCTGGGTACCGATTCTCACCGGGTCTTTTACAAATGGTTAAGCAAGTGCTGGCTCCTGATTGGGCACAAAAATATTTGGTATTATTGTGCCCATTAGGCGAACAGCATCTATTGAGTTCTTTTCGTGCTTCATACACGACCGCTCTTGTCACGCCATACTTGTCCGGTTCGTTCACCAAAGAAATGCACGCCAACTGGAAACTTTCAGTTTAATATAAACTCTCTGAGGGTGCAGATTTGCCTATTCTTTCATATACTTGTGAAATTCTTACCTTTTTATATTCCTGAACCCTGAAAAAGGTACCCCTTCTGGGTGGAGCCTCCTTACATACGTCACTATGGAGTACACCCGCCTCCTCTCCAGGGGGGTTTGAATCGACGTCATGTCAGAATCTATGAAAACAGCAAAACCACTAATGGAACGCCATGAGGACTACTCCTCGACTAGTGGCTGAAGTAAAAAATAAAATGCTTAGACTAAAGCCGATCTGGTCTTGTTTACGAAATAGCAACGCGATTTTCGGAATATCCAAACCGCATACTGCTTAGGATTAGTTATTGCTTGTTACTAATTATTTTGGTCTGTGTATAACATTCAATTTTTTGCTTCGGCGGAGCGCGAAGTAAAAGATTCGCGACGCTCAGGAATGTATCAAAGTTGACATTTTTGGGACAAGATTGGGCGCGCAAAGTCCGTAGGTTTTCGGTTTTATTCGGCTATTTGACGAAGTGAGAGCCGAATTAGTTCGAGATATTTCGAGGTCACTTCGATTTCTTTGATTTACTCTTTAACTTTTTCGAGGAAGAAAGAATTATTATTTTGGCTTTCCCGGGGTTTGAACCGACTCACCTGTGTGACCCGTCAGATCAGAGGAGACTCTAAGTTGAGGGATTCGCCGATTGCGCTACTGCGACCCAAGGTAGTTCGAGGTATGAAAAATAGTGATGAAATCATGCACTAGTTTCGAAACAAGATTGGGCGCGCAAGTTCGTGACGTTTCGGCTTGTTTCGGTTATTCACGAAATGAGACCGGACTACTTCGTGATATCTTCAGATCACTTCGAGTTTAGTCTTTAATTTACTCGAGGAATAAATAGAGGATATTACGTAGCAGAGCAGAGACACGAAATTTCGTTTCGAGTGTTGAAAAACATTTCACGAGTGAGCGCTCCTTTCGAACTGTTTTATGATGAATTTAAAGTTACAAAATGCTGCACAAAGACGTTTTGTCGTTGTTGAGCTTTACGTAGTAAAGTTGCTTTCATACGTTCCGTGACTTTCTCGAATGTTCTCTACTTTTTTGGATTATTCATTATTATTCATATGTGGAAAAGCTACTACTATTCGCCTGTTTAGTATTTTCTGGAACCTTATGTCAAACGGTATCCAAGTTTCAAGCGAGTTCTTTTGACGAACTAAGTTTTTTTCCCACGAGCTGGAGTGCTGTGTTTAGTCAAGTTTTACGAAGGTCGATTTTCAAGTTCTGTGTTTACAAGTTGGCGGAAGCCGTAAGATATCTGAAGTTCAAGTGAGTGTTTGTTATTATTGGCAGAGACTGTTTAGTTTTACTTAAGTTTAAGTCAAGTTTGTGTTGGCGGATACTGTGTTTTAAAGCTCTGTTAAGACTATGTTCCTTTGGTATTAAACTTCCTTGTGTTAATCCGACATCCGTGCGTGCTGATAGTCAGTGAATAACTATCCTCAAAACATTCGAACTCATAACACTGAGTTTTAGCGAATTCCATGCTCAACGTAATTGACTCCTTACCCAAGCCTTACATATCCTTAATCAGTACATGAGACTGCTTTGCTGTTTTTGAAGCCTGATGTGACTAAGAAAAATAGATAATTCTTT